TATAACGGGTTTAGTTTAAAGTTATAATGGCTATAATCAATGATGTCAAACCATAATAAAGATTCTACCTGTAATGCAATGTAGAGGTGGTTTAATAAACATTATGATTTATGTTCCTATTTAAAAAATGTTAAAGGCATATAATTTGTATAGCAAGTGTACTGTGCAACAAAATCTAGGAGAATCCTGATGGTTGCTCTGTGGTTGGACAAGATTAAATTGCATGACATATAGGGGTAACTTTTCCTTCATTGTACCTGTTTTCTAGGATTAATGCTAGCTATCACGGGTCTTTTGTTTCCTTGAAGATTTTGGCTATAATGTGAAGGGTAGATATTCCATTGGCATCTTGTTGTAAAATTTTATCGCATTTTTCGTGGAGCCTTGTATCATGCTTCCCATTGGACTGGGAAAGCCTTAGTTGGAGATTAGGATGACAAGGGTGGTGATGATAGTGCTGATGTAGGTTAAAGTTCCTAGAAGCCTCTGTTTGATATTGAAAGTGCCCGAGTTCTAACTGAGCTTCTTGCTTTCTATGTGAAAAATAAGGTTATGTACCTTCAGTAATGGCAAGCGCGTTAGTGAATGCAAGTCCGGGACATGGCCATCCTGGCCCAAAACATATCATGTGCCTACACTAAACACTGTGAGAGTGATTATTTGTTTATTTATTTGTTTTCTTTATTTTAGTTTCTTACAATTTACTGCATATCGGTCCAGACCATTATCATTTAGTTTAGATTTGCGCTCATTTATTTAAGATAGCATGCTTGTTATTAATGCCTTCATTTTTGTTCAGGCTATCTATGTATTTGGATTTGGGGTTCCCCTGTTTATCAATGATCATGGGAAAGGGAACCGGGTGAAATGGGGCTTATGGCTTGTACACAAGCTGTTACTTAGTGCTGTCTATGGTTTCATTTTGTTCATGCATCACTCAAAATGGAGAGAGAGGTTACCAGGTAATCCTTATTCCACTCCTAGTCTCCAATAACTTTAATTTTTCCAACTTTTTTCATTTGTTCTGGCACATTATTTAATTCCTTTCCTTTCCCTTCCCCATCTACAGCAAGGCCTGCCTTCTACAAGTATATATGTGCAATGTTCTTACTGAGTGTGGTATCATCTTTTGCCTGCGTGCTTGTTGAAAATGGAGCTGGGCTTAGTTTCTGGTATCTTTTTTCTATTTACAATATGGAATTTCGTTTGTGAATAACTGTTGTAGAACTGTCTAATCTCTCTCTCTCTTACAACTGTCTAATCTCTATCTTTTACAGGCTATTTGATTTTGTAGCTGTATGCTATCACTCCCTTTATCTTCCTCTCTTATATGTAACATTTTTAGCAGATTTTTTCCAGGTTAGTTTTCATCCAAACCTTCTATTGTACTATTTGCATAAACCAATTTCATAACACTTGGTAAGGGGTCTAGTCATTTTTCTTCTTATATCATATTGATACAGGAGGAAGACATGCGTCCGGAGAATGTATATTACGCGGAGATGAAGGATGCTGGTTTCTTTGATGCAGATTGGGATTGACGCTGCTCTGCTTCATGCATAGTTTAACATAATAGTACTGTAAATTGTACCGTCTTCTTTAGTGAATTAAAGAATTGACAAGTCTGTGGCCTTTGCAAGTAAAAACTTTCATACTAGGTAAGTTTTCTGGGTGCTATCTATATCTTGATAGTAATCTTAATTGATGACTACAATGTTCTTATGCAGGGTTTTCCTTTTTCTGATACTGGAACACATTCTGCTTGGATCAGTGTTCTCATTTTCATGTACATGGTAACATTATGGCAGTATGCTTACTTTTTGAAGTTGTCTTTCCTTTTGATGCGTGCTTTTTTTTTTTCCCTCCTTCAGTACCGATTAACCTTTTCTTTTTTTAGTCACTAGTTGTAAAGGATGTATATAGAAAGCATCACATTCAATGTATCATAGCGCTTCAAGCGGATTGCATTCAATTCACAAATAAAGTTTCGCTGTACTGGGGCTATTTGTGGGCAAAAGAGTGAACTTTTGACATGATGTTTATTAGTGGAACCTGAATTAAGTGATGTGCGACCGTTTTAGGAAATGAGGAGGTTTGAAAGGTTTAGGAGAGGAGAGTGCTGGAAAGGTTTTCGAGACATAGTGATCTGAGGCATAGTAAGCAAAGCTTGCTGTCTTCTTCAACCTTCAGTGGCCCAGTGACTGGTTAAAAGCGAGTGGCGCTTTTGGAAATTGATCATATATTGTCATGAGGAGTTATTGCCGTTTCTAATTGAGAAATTAACGTTTACTTGTTGTGTTTATTTCCTTTACCTGGTGAATATTATGTTAAACGTGAGAGAAAGTTGGGGTCGAAAAAGATGGTGAAACTAGGAAGTTGATCTCAAACACTGGGGGCGGGGGCGGGGAACGAAATTTGTCTGTAAATTTTCAATCCGAGTCCGTCAAAATACGAGAAGGTAGAGAGATCAAAAGATGTACAATTTTACGGCAAACTTCTGCACCGGTAGGAAAGAAGAGTTTAATGTGAAGAGTTTCAAGGTGGAAGAGGGTGAGGAACTATACAAAGTTGTATCAAATTCTGTTAGGACTGCAACCTGATCGGAATATAGAGGTGCAGAAAGAAAACAGAACACCAGATAGAAAACGGCTGCTAGCAATAATCAATGTTTATTCATTAAAAGCTATTTGCCTACATCCAGAGGAGGCTTCTGTAAACTTGAAAATAAAAGAAAGGAAAAAATTGCATGTAGGCCTCAAATTAAAAATCCTCATGCGACTAAGGGGCTGTTTGTTTCACCAAGGACTAGGAATAGGATTAGGAATCCTATTTAATTTATGGATTCCAACTTAATCCATAAAAATTTTATGGACAAGTTTGAGTTTTATGGAATCCCACTTTTTTTGGCTTTTAATGTTTGTTTTCACCCAAAGGATTAGTAATCTCACTTTTATAGAATTGGTCCAATTCCTAATACCATGTTTGGTTTAAGAAGAATATTTTTTTTGGGATCATTACTGTAGCAACGGCTATCACAATTTTCATTAAAAAATACTGTAGCAACGGATTTAAGCCCCCAAAATCATATTTCCAGCAGCAAACACTGTAACAACATTTACATATCACTGTAGCAACGAATTTAAGGCCCAAAAATCAGATTTTCAAGCAGCTGACACTGTAACAACGGCTATTTCTTAGGCAAATCACTGTAGCAACGGCTATTTCAGGGGCATGGTGGCTATAAATTCACCTTGAGGCCTCACAAATAATCCCATCATTCTCATTTTTCAACAATAATAAAATTCCCAAGCTCTTCAATTTGCTGCCCCGACATCAATGATGATATCAGAAGAGTGCTGGCAGAATTATGAAGTTTTCGACTGCAATCTCCGAACACCGATGAAAGTGTGCAAGAATGGAAAAAATAAGGGTAGGTGTTATTGGGGGTGTGCAAAATTCCCAAATAAAGAATGTAATTTTTTCGAATGGGCTGAAGAAAGAGGAGAGTCATCAAGCAACCAAGGAAGCCAATATGTCAAAGAAAATAGGTACGGAGATAAATATATCTTGCAATCAAAGAAGCTGAAGAAAGAATTGAGACTTGTCGAAAATCAACTACTAGCTTGGAAAATTTCTGTAATTTTCTTAGCAATTTTTTGTGTTATTTTAATTATTACAAACTTCATGTCATGTACTTGTAATTGCAAAAAACTATTGAGGATGTAATGAAAACTGTTGTTTGAATTGGGTACAAATTCTAATTGATATTGTATGGCTCAGTAATAGATCAACTTGTCATCATTGATTGCCCCACCTATAACTTACATGTTTATTACAGATTGCATTATAAGGATGAATTGCCTCGCCTAGACATTGTCAATTCAATGTAGGCTGAAATCTCATCCCCTTTTGCCTCATCTGGATATAATAAACGATGTAAGTTAGATTGCATTCTCAGTAAACGCTGATCATTATCATTGCCATATATCAAGTGCAAGGAGCTGCACAAGCTCAAAACTAAACAGCAAGTAACCCACAGGCTCGGAAAAACAAAACAGCAGCATGGTGAGAATGTATGATGGGGAAAACAAGCAACAAACCCCAGCTCCTGCAAGCGCAAACCCAACAACAAAACAGCAACAAACCCAGCAGCAGCAGGAGCTGCCAAACTGAGGAAAAACAGGCACAAACCCCAGCTAGCAAGGAGCTACACAATCTCAGAATAAAACAGCAACAACCCCATTAGCAAGGAGCTACACAAGCTCAAAAACAAAACAGCAGCAAACCCAGCAGACAGGGGGTAAACAAGCAACAAACCCCAGCTCCTGCAAGCACAAACTCAGCAACAAAACAGCAACAAACCCAGCAGCAGCAGGAGCTGCAAAACTGAGGAAAAACAGGCACAAACCCTAGCATGCAAGGAGCTACACAAGCTCAGAACGAAACAGCAACAAATCCCAGCTGCAAGGAGCTACACAAGCTCCAAAAAAAAAAACAACAACAACCCCAGCAACAGCAAGAGTAAACAAGCAACAAACCCCAGCAGACAGGGGGCAAACAAGCAACAAACCCCAGCTCCTGCTGCAGACGGGGTCAACAAGCACAAACCCTTCAACAAAACAGCAACAAACCCTTAGCTTCAGCAGCATGAGCTGAAAAACTGGGGAAAAACAGGCACAAACCCCATTAGCAAGGAGCTACACAAGCTCAAAAACAAAACAACAACAACCCCATTAGCAAGGAGCTACACAAGCTCTAAACAAAAACAGCAGCAAACCCATCAGACACCCCAGCTAATGCTAGCACAAACCCAGCAACAAAACAGCAACAACCCCAGCAGCAGCAGGAGCTGCAAAACTGAGGAAAAACAGGCACAAACCCCAGCTAGCAAGGAGCTACACAAGCTCAAAAACAAAACAGCAACAACCCCATTAGCAAGGAGCTACACAAGCTCTAAACAAAATAGCAGCAAACCCATCAGACATGGGGTAAACAAGCAACAAACCCCAACTAATGCTAGCACAAACCCAGCAACAAAACAACAACAAAACCAGCAGCAGCTTGAGCTGCAAAACTGGGGAAAAACAGGCACAAACCCCAGCTAGCAAGGAGCTACACAAGCTCCAAAAAAGCAGCAACTAACCCAGCTAGCAAGGAGGTACACAAGCTCCAAAAAACAGCCACAAATCCAAACTCAAGGAACCACACAAACCCAAGAACAAAACAGTAACAAACCTGATGGCAAAATAACCCAAAGCCAAATAGCTAATAAAGCAAAGGAGCAACATTAAGAGCTCATTGGTCATGCCTATCCATACTTACCTGCATCAAAAGTTAAAAAGTACCAATTCATTAATTACATGACGTCATAGCGTTTTCATAACAAGAAGTATTGCAACATTAATAGTTTGCAAATAACAAAATGATATATGCGCAACAACATATACGTGTGCACAACAAAATGCTCCATCCACATGTACAAATTAGTTAACAGACCAACCTTGGTCGTTAATCAGGTTGGTAATGTACCTCTGCTGACCTTCCTTTCCTTTTATGAAAAACCTTCTAGCTTCACGTTCATTGTCATATAAGTGATCTAAAATCCTATCCAGGAATTCCTCAGAGTATTCATCCCTATGTTCCTTCAACGCTGCAGCCAATTGTTCAGTCCAATGAACAGTGTGTTGATTTCTCATGGACTGAGACATTGAGTCAACAAAGACACATAACATATCCTCTTCATGATTTGATTTTTTAGGTTTCTTGTTAGAAGATGAATTCATGTTATCTTTACTCTTAGACTTACATCTAGTTGGTTGTTGTTGGTTACAAGCATCAGATTGTGGTGTACTTCCACTCTCCTCTGGAATTTCACTATCATCTTCAGGAATAGGTATGGACCTACTAGACCCAATGTTAGCATACACAGGCCTAACAAATTCACCCTTAGCTTGGTCATCACCCATGATAGTTTGTAAATTTTTGAAGTGAGGTAGGGGTTTGTTTATGTACGCTTTGAACTTAGATTTGGATTTGTCCTGCAACAACAAATAATCATAAGTTGTGAACCAAATGTATTAATTACTAACAACAATGTAGATGCTGAATGTTATACCTGAGACCACGATTTCAAGGTTTCGTCATCTAGTGTAATCATTTTATTTATTTCATCCCGCCCAGCTCCACTTATATCAAGGCAAGCCTTCATGTCATTGAATTTGTTTCTCAAGCATTTCAAGTGGTTAATGACATGTATATGAGTGAAATCAGTCCTAAATTGCATGTTGATTTTCATCGCTGCCATTTTATAAGCTTCTGCCTTGAAGTTCTTGTCTGGCTTTAGCCCATCTAATGCTAATTCTGCAAGATAAGGAATGAGAACGTCATCGTGCTCTGGAAGCCAAAACTTATTAGCCACACCTCTTGAGTTCAACCTTGCCCCCAGTCCCGATTTCTTATGAGCTAATTTTTTCCCTTTTTTTATTGGTGAAGTATGCTCCTCACCATCAACATCATGAATAACCTTCTCTGCTGAATCCACAGTGTTTGGTGAAAATTGATTGGGTCTACTACTTTGAGAACTAGCTGTGGGAAATAGCAAACCTTGTGGGCTGCTTAACATGCTCACGTATGACATTAAATAGCAAACCTTGTGGGCTGCTTAACATGCTCACGTATGACATTGGTTGCTGTGTCATTCCACCATAATTAGCATCATATAATGAGAATGGTTGCTGTGTCATTCCACCATAATTAGCATCATATAATGAGAATGGTGAGAATGTATGATGGGGTGAAGAGTTAGGTTGTGGTTGAACAGGCGTGAAGTTCATATTTATGTTAGCAGCTGGATTTGGCGGAGCATTAGAATGAGAAGGTAGGGGCTGCTTATCTGCCTTATTGTTAACCATACCTAATATATATTGAACAAGTAGACATTATTATTAAAGAAAGCAAAATCAATATATAATATGCATGCATTTAGCAATTTGCGT